TGTTCAGAACAAGGTCTTTAAAGACTGTTTTGAGTCCACAAGTTGAGGGATCAGGGAAAGAACAGAAACCCGGCGGAGACATGAGAGCTGCTTTGAAATATCAAGACGTTTGTCATTCACAAGAGCCACACTTCTGTGATCCAGGGAGGAGGGACCAGGACCCACATTCAGAAATCACAGCAGGGAAGGGGAGGGAGGGGCAGGAGGGAGGTTCCCAGTGGGAGAGCTACCCAAAGTCAGGGGGGCTCCCTGGGAAACACAAGAGAGAGAAACAGTCGGTGTGTGTGGTGTGCATGTGTTTGGGTGGTGTGCTTGTGTAACAGTGGTGTGTGTCTGTGTGGTGCACGTTTGGTTGGTGTGTGTTTGTTGTATGGGCATGGTGTGAGGTATTTGGTTTATGTGGTTTATGTGGTTTATGTGCATTTGCAGTGTGTCTGTGTAGGGTACGTTTGTGTTATTTTTGTGGTGCATGTGTTTGTGGTACATGTGTATTTCTGCGGTGCCTGTGTGATGTTAGCTGATTGTGTTTTGTGGATTTGAGGCTTGTGTTTGTGTTTCTGTGGTGTTTCAGAGGTGTGCGTGTTTGTGCAGAATGTATTGTGTGTGATGTTGTGTCATGTGTCTTTGTGTGGAATGTGTGTGTGTATTTGGTGTGTGTTTGTGTTGTGTGTTCGTGTGCTGAGGGGTGTTTGTGTGGTGTTTGTGTGATGTGCTAGTGTTATGAGTGTGTATGTATTGTGTGTGTATTGTTTATGTGGTATGTGTACCTGTGATGTGTGTTTGTGTGTTGGTATGAGTTTTGTTCGTGTGGTGTGGTTTTGTGTTGTGGTATTCGTGTCATTTGTGTCTGTGCTGTATATGTGCAGTGTGTGTATTTCTATGATGTGTGAGCTTGTGTGGTATGTGTTGTGTGATGTGTATTAGTGGTGTGTGTTTGTATGGTGTGTGTTCTGTGAATTTGTAGTGTGTGTACTTGTGTGGTGTGTGTGTGTCTGTGGGTTTTATGTGATGTGCAGTATTTGTATTGTTTGTGCTTGTCTGGTGTGCGTTTTATGTGTTGTGTACTTGTGTGGTATGTGTATTTATGTGTTGTGTGTGTTTTTGTGTAATGTGTGGTGTTTGTGTTGTGTGTGCTTGAGTAGTATTTGAGCTTGTATACTGTATTTGCCTGTGTGGCATTTGTAAGGTGTGTGTTTGTGTGGTGTGTGGTGTTTGTTGTGTGGCTTGGGTACTTGTGTGGTGTATGCTATTTATGTGGTATGTTTAGTGTTTTGTATTTGTGTGATGTTTGTGTTTGTGTGGTGTGAGTTTACAGGTTGTGGTGTTTGTGTCATGTATTTGTGTGTTGTTAGTGTGATATGTGTTTGTGTTCTTGTGGTATGTGGTGTTTGTGCAGTGTGTGTGGCACGTGTTGTTTGTATGGTATATGTGTGCTTTGTGTAGTGTGTGTACTTGTAGTGTGTATTTGTATAGTGTATGTGTACTCTTTCTGTGTATGTATATTTGTGGAGGGTATGTGTGATGTGTGTTGGTGTGGTGTCTGTAGTTTGTGTGCTGGTTGTTGACTGTATGTTGTGTATTTGAGATTTGTATTTGAAGTTTATTTGTTTCAGTGTGGTGCTGTTTATGTGATGTGTGTTTGTTTCTAATTGTATTTGTGTGGTAGGTGTGTTTATGTGGTATGTGGTATTTGGTGTTTGTGTATTTGTGTTGTGTTTGTGTGATATGTGTATGTGTAATGTCTGTGTTTGTGTGGTTTGTGTATTTATGTGGTATGTGTACCTGTGGCATGTGTTTGTGTGTTTTCATAGTGTGTGCTTGTGTGGTGTGTGTGTGTCTGTGTGGTGTTTGTATAGCATGTGTGTTTGTGTGAACTGTTTGTATGTTGTGCATGTATTTGTGTAATGTGTGGTATTTGTGTGGTGTGTGTATTGGACAATGCAAGTATTTGTGTGATCTGTTTCATGTGGTGTGTGCTTTTGTGGTGTTTGTGTTTGTGCAGTGTGTGTGTATTTTGTTTACATGTACAGTGTGTGTTGTATATTTTGTGTGTATATACTTGTGTGATGTGTGCTTGTGTATTATGTCTGTGTTTCTGTGGTGTGTGTGTGTGTGTGTGCTGAGGGGTGTTTGTAGTGGTGTGTGTTTGTGTGGTACGTGTGTGTCTGTGTGGTGTGTATTATTTGTGTGGTGTGTGTCTGCTTTTGTGGTGTGTTTGTGAGGCATTTGTTTCTGGTGTTTTGTGTGTGTTCCTGTGTATGTGTTTGGATATCGTGTGTTTGTGTGTAATGTGGTATCTGGTGTACTTGTGCATCAATGGTGTATTTCTGTGTGTGTGGTATGTGTTGTTTTTGTGGTGTGTTTGTTGTGTTTTATGTGTGTAGTATGTGGTGTTTGTGTGTTACTTATGTGTTGTATGTGTGTTTTTGTGGTGAGTTCTTGTCTGGTATGTGTGTGGTGGGTGTTGTGTGGTGCATGTATTCATGTGGTGTGTATTTGCATGTTGTGGTATTTGTGTTGTGTGTGTGTGGTGTGTGGGTGTGTGGTGTTATTTGGTGTATAATATGTATATTATATATTTATAATGTATTTGTTGTTGTTAATTCTCACCTGAGGATATTTTTTTCCATTGATTGTTCAGACAGAGTGGAAGGAGGGAAGGAGGGAGAGAGAGAAACATCAATGTGAGAGACACACATAAATTACTTGCCTCCCACACGACCCCAACCAGGGTTGAGGATCAAATCCACAACCTAGGGACATGCCCTTGACCCCTAGGGACATGCCCTTGACCCCTAGGGACATGCTCTTGACCAGGAGTCAAACCCACAACCCTTCCGTCCATGAGCCACGCCAGCCAGGGCAGGTGTGTAATATTTATGTGGTGTGTTTGTCCTTGTGTGTTTACATTGTGCACGGTTGAGTGTTGTGTGGTACTTGTGTCATGTGTGTTTGTGTAATGTTTGATGGTATGCATTTTTGTGTGTTGTGTTTGTGTTTGTGTGTGTTGTTTCGGGGGTATCTGCTTCTGCTTGATGTGTTTTTGTAGTGTGCTTTTGTGTGTTGTGTGTCATGTGCCTGCGTCTGTGGTGTGCATTATTTGCATGATGTGTATTTGTGGTTGTGTGGTACGTATTTGTTTATTGTGTTTTTTGTGTCGTGTGTATTTGTGTGGTGTGTAGTCTTCGTATAGCTTGTGTAGTGTATGTGGTGTGTGTTGTTTGTGTGCTCTGTGTATCTTTGGTGTGCGGTATTTTAGTGGTGTATGTGTTTGTGTGGTGTGTGGTGTTGTGGTATGTGAGTCTGTGTGTTATGTGTGTTGTTTATGTGGTGTGTGTGCCTGTGTGGTGCGTGGTGTGAATCCAGTCCTGAGGGGCCTGGGGACTGCAGAACAGGCCCTGCTGAGTGGGGGGACCACAGGCACGCCTTGGACAGACGGGGTGCTGACACCGCGGGGCCCCAGAGCAGAGCTGACACCCTGCGATGTGCTCGCACCTGGATCCCTCTGCGCCCAGGTGCGTGGGGGCGGCTGACCGTGCACCCACAGTGGGGTGGTCCAAGCCCGGCTCTGTGGCCTGAGAGCCTCCGCACCCCCGGCTTGGCTGCTGATCGGCTCTGCGACCTTCTGTACGTCACTCACCTTTCACAACCTCGGTTCTCTCACCTGTGAACTGGGGCCGGACGCACAGGTTCCTGCAGGGCTCACTGGGGGCTGGCGCGTGCGGGTCGGCACAGCCTGGCGGCCCTGGTTTCTGTCTGGAGCCCTGCCACCTGATACGTGTTCCGAGTGCAGCCTGCACAGGGCGTTCTGCAAACCGTGTCATTCCGAGCGCGGTGTAACCGGGCTTGCCCTTGCCCGGTTCCCTGGAGGCAGTGACCGCTGGCCCTCGCTGCTCCCCCCACACCGTGGCCCAGGTCTCCACACCAGCCAGCGGCTCCGCTCCAAGCCCCTTCGCCAAGACCGGAGGTTGGTAAATCTCACCCTGCACCTAACCTGTGTGGTCTGAGAGCTGAGAATGTGGTTATATTCTGAAACGGTTGGGAAAGAAAATCAGAACAAGAATTCTATTTCACGACACAAGGAAACTGTATGAAATGCAAATGTCAGTGTCCATGAGTGGACTGGCACACCTGCCCCACCGTCCCGTGGCTGCCTGCGTGCCGTCTGGCAGGGCGGACACCCACCCACCGACCCGCGGCGTCCGCAGTACTTACGCTGGCAGAGAAGGCGCCCAGGCCTGCACCAACCTCGCCAGCCCCGCGCACGGGGTGAAGGCAGCTCAGGCCGGTGGGGCCTCCTCCGCCGACAGGTGCCAGGAGACGGTGGAGGAGCAGGCGGCCAGGCAGCCACCGTGCGGGGCCCACCCTGACAGCGTGCCCGGCGGCTGCCCCATGTCCTCTCTGTGGGCAGCGGCCCACCGAGGAGGGGTGGCAGGGAGCAGGTTTCGCCGCACCGGTCTGACGCCGGCCCCCCTGCCCAGCACGTCCAGCCCCCTGAGCTGCCAGCCAGGTGCCAGCCCCTGAGCCCCGGCGGCCCACGGGCCCAGGCCTCAGACGCAGTTTCCAAAAATTCTCAGCTGCTCTCTGTGAGTTGCTGGTGTTGGTGTCTGTGTATATGCCCTTGGAGCCAATGTTAATTCTAAGATGTCAGAGTTGGCAAAGCTTTCCAAAACCTGCTTCCTCGTGGGGCGCACAGCCTCGGGCCTTGCCCAGCGGCCGCCTCACTGCCCCTCTGGCTCAGGACCATCAGTTCTGAAACAGCTCCTGGTGTAAATCCCACAGGACCCAGGTGGATTCCGACATGACTACGTCCCCATTTATTCCCGAACTCGTCTAACCCGATGCTGACCACCCAAGATCAGGCCCCAAGCAGGTTTGTCTAGGGAGGGACATCTAATCAATTTAATCCTCGGGAAACCCTCACTGCCTGCTCCCCGAAGGGCTCCAGACTGCGCAGATCCCCCACACCAGGTCTCGGAGGACAGCTGACCCGCCCTTACCTCTCCCTGGGCAGCAGCGTGGGCTCGGGGCGGGCGGCAGCTGTGGTGGAGGGGACTTGCCTGGAAGGGGACGAGGGGTTCAGGTCCAAGGCGCCCGCCTTCCTGTGCGGGGGCTCCGTTCCCATCGCGCCCTGAATCTCGCTCTCCATGGGGCAGGACCCGGCCCGGCCACGGAGCGACAGCAAGGACGCGTCCGGCCCCACTGCACCCTGCAGTGAGGCGTCCACCTCCTGGGGGTCGTGGGTGGGAGACACGGACGGTGGGGAGCGAGACTTCTTCTTGGTGGACGCGCCAGCCAGAAGTTTCAGCAGCCCCGTCTTCTTCTCCTTCTGGAAAGAACAGAACAGAAACCGTGGGTGGAGGCTCCTAAATGCCCGTTAGCGAGGGGGGTGCAACCTTTTGGAATGTCACACGTAGTCTGGTCAAGCTGGTCACAGGAGGTAAACAGAGCCAGGACGGAGCTTTGTCTTCCCTGTCCCCAGACCCGGCGGGCGGAGGTGCGTTCCCCAGAGGGGGTGACGCAGGGCTGTCCGGGCCAGTCCGCCCTTGCCACCAGGACTGTGTCCTCGCCTGGCCTCCGCGGGCTGTGTCCGCGGCACCAGCAGCCAGCATAATCTGACTTCTCCTCACCGTTTTTCCAAGTGGGCCTCCCCACTGGGGTTGATTATCCTGCCTCAGGCTTCCTGAGATTAGCTCCCTCAGCCGGGGGGTCCCCGACACAGCTCCTCTGCAAACTCTCCTCTGCACACGTGTACACACGGGAAACCTGCAGCACGTGTGTGCATGCGTACACGTTGCACCTCGTATGTCCCAAGGAGTCACTTGCTGTGGCAGAGTGGAGGATGCCCCTGCTGAGGGCACCTTCCCCCACGCCCTGGGTGCCCCCACTGGTGCCTGTCTGGGCAAACCCCTCCACCCAGCAGGCTGTGACAACACTCAGGACCTGGTTGCACACGCACAGAACCAGTTGGGAGGGTCTGCCCTTGCAGAAAGAAGCCTGTCTCAGCGTCACCCGTTAGGACAACAACCCTCTCCGGGTCTAGAACTGTCCCAGTTCCGACGACGCCCCGCACCACCCTGGAGGCCAGTCGCACGGGGGACCCCAGGGCTCTCCTGGCTCTGTGGGAGCCTCTCCTCGTCCTCTGAAGCCCGTGGGCTTGGAGACCTCTCCACAGATGCCGAGGGCCAGCTCGGGGACAAGGACCCAGACAGTGTCCCTGGGTGGCCCAGCCCGGCCATGTGTCTGCGCCTCTGTTCACCCTGAACCTGCAGCACCAGGAGCGAGTGGGCATCTCCCACCTTCCCCAGCGGGGCTGCTGCCCAGTGCGTGGGGTGCCGCCAATGTCGCCCCTGACACTGAGGATATTTGGGTGTGGGAGAGCAGAACCGTGTTCACCGAGGCTGTGCCTGTGTGGTGTGCGTGTGAGTGTGTGCATGTGAGTGGGAGGGAGACAGCGTGGACACGGAAGTGGACATGTTCAGAACCACGTGCCCGTCGTGGACGTGTTCACAGCCTGACGGGAATTTAGCTCTCTGGTGTCCAGTGGAAGTCAGGTGGGAGCGGATCAGGATTGGCATGAGCGGGTGGCAGCACCCAGCAGTCTGATCCTCTGCCACCAGGTCAGCGACGGCCACCACCTCGGCGTTGGTCCCAGCCCCCCGGAGTCTGAGGTGCACAGGGGGAGACTTCATTTCTGCCCTCCTTGTCTGCATGGCTAGAAGCCACTGGGGCGGCGGTGTGCTGAAACGTCCTTAAAATACACACATTTAGTAACGTGCCTACCCTTGAGCTATGTCATTAACACTTTAGTGCGAACAAGTCTTGCTTTTCTCTACTCCTAGCACTGATATAAAAGAAAGGATGGGCCCTGGCCAGTTCCTCAGTGGTTAAGGCATCGGCCCGTGGGCTGAAGGGTCTCGGGTTCCATTCTCAGTCAAGAGCATGTACCTGGGTTGCAGGTTCGATCCCTGGCCCCTGTCAGGGTCATGCAGGAGGCAACCAATCAATGTATCTCTCTCACACCAATGTTTCTCTCTCCCCTCACCCCCTTCCACTCTATTTAAAAACCGGTGGAATAGTATACTTGGGTGAGGATCAACAACAACACAATTAAAGAAAGGCTGGGAGCCGATGTACTACCTCCTGTGCACTGAGGGGGGCTGGATGGGTGAGCCCCAGGCCGGGTGGGAGCGGGATGACAGAGCACAGGGCACACCTGTGTGTCCACCTTGCCCAGCCCAGCCGGTGTCAGCACCCCTGAGGGAGAATGCTGGGGCACACCTAAGAGAGTTGCAGCAGTTCAGCCTCTTGGGGGCACTATGCGTCTGCCTCAGATGTCCCCGTGAGACCCCTGACCCCCTGGCTGGGCTACAGGCCAGCACTCCTGAGGCTGCCCGCAGCGGGCAGTGGTGTCCGAGGCCTCATAACCCGAGGGCACGCAGGGGAGGGCATCAGAGATGAGAGGACGCGGTGTGGACGTGAGGGGTGGCACCGGAGGGTCTGTGGCCCTCTGGCCCAGCTGCCAAAGCCCCCAGCCCTCAGTCTTGCCCAGCTTCCTGCCCCCTTTTATTCATTTTCTCCAGAAGGCCGGGTCACTGGCTTCCTGCCAGGCTGCAGGAATGTAAGGGCTGGGGCAGGGGCTGAACTCTTGGTCACAGCAGCGCCAGTGCCCGGAGGCTGCCTGGAACCCAGCAGGCGCTTCCTGAGTGCCGGACCCAGCGAGCCCCGCAGGCATGAGCGCTCCTGTCCTGCGGGGCGCCCTCTGCTGCCAGCAGAGAGCAGATCTGCTCATCAACGCCTGCTCGCAAGGCAAGGCAGCCGGCAGCCCTGGAGCACAGCCACGCCCAGCGGGTGCGCAGGGGCTGGAAGAGGACAGGCCCTGGTGCACAGCCACGCCCAGCGGGTGCTCAGGGGCTGCGGGAGGACGGGCCCTGGAGCACAGCCACGCCCAGCGGGGTGCTCAGGGGCTGGGAGAGGACAGGCCCTGGTGCACAGCCACGCCCAGCGGGTGCTCAGGGGCTGCGGGAGGACAGGCCCTGGAGCACAGCCACGCCCAGCGGGGTGCTCAGGGGCTGGGAGAGGACAGGCCCTGGAGCACAGCCACGCCCAGCGGGTGCTCAGGGGCTGCGGGAGGACGGGCCCTGGAGCACAGCCACGCCCAGCGGGTGCTCAGGGGCTGGGAGAGGACTGGCCCTGGAGCACAGCCACGCCCAGCGGGGTGCTCAGGGGCTGGGAGAGGACGGGCCCTGGAGCACAGCCACGCCCAGCGGGTGCTCAGGGGCTGGGAGGGGACGGGCCCTGGTGCACAGCCACGCCCAGCGGGTGCTCAGGGGCTGGGAGAGGACGGGCCCTGGAGCACAGCCATGCCCAGCGGGTGCTCAGGGGCTGGGAGAGGATGGGCCCTGGAGCACAGCCACACCCAGCGGGTGCTCAGGGGCTGGGAGAGGACGGGCCGGGAGCACAGCCACTTGTTTGTGGGGAGGTCCAGCCTCAGCGGTGAGTTTGGACAGGGCTGGTAATCGCAGTGCGGTTTTCCTGTCTCCGTTCTCCATGATTAACCAGGACAGATCATTCTCTTAATCTGACTGGGGCGCAGACACCACGGCTGGAGCACGCCCACGAGGAATCCCGGGGGCCTGCCCTGAGCACTGCTCTCGCACCGCGTGGAGCCCAGGGCTGGCCGGGCGCGCCCCCGATGGTTCCAGGCACGACCCGGGCCTCTGTGCTGCAGGTGAGAACCAGCTAACAGGCACTCTGAAGGGGGAGAGGGGAGACAGCGATTTCAGGGGCGATGCCACGGGACAGGAAGAGGCTTTAGCGGGTGCCAGTTAGGGTTGCTCTGGGCTAAAAGTCTTAAGGGAAGAGAGATTTGCTGGGGTTTCTCCTGGGACCAGGATAAACTGGGGACTTTCCTGGGCCCCGGCAGTCACACAGAAAGCTGTCTCTGTTGGGTTTGGGGGTCCCTGCTTTCCTATACATTCTCATCAGCACCCTGCCATCTCCAGCTGTGGCTCAAATCCCTCCCCTGAGGGTGACTCACTTTCAGCTTTGGTGGGGACCCCAAACAGTCTGCACTGTGGGAACAAAACACGCCCCCATAAGTCCTGCCACAGGAGGGAGACAAATGTGCAGGGAGAGGTTCATCCTCTCTGCCCCATATGACTGACGGGGTGCTGCCACCCAGTGGGCACAAGCCCCTCTGGGGAGCCCCCTCAGCTCCTCAGGCAGTTACACCCAGGACCGCCCACCTGCCCCATCACAGCTCCGCAGGTGGGCCGAGGGGGCCGGGAGCACAGCAGCAGCCCCAGCAGGCCGCTCCAGGCCCCGCTCCGAGTCCCAGCTCATAGACACGACCTGCCTCGCACAGCCGGTAAGATCAGAGACATAAGAGGGCTTTGTAAACTATGAACGCAGCCCAGCTAGTGTGGCTCCATGGGCTAAGTGTCCCATGGACGGAGAGGTCTCGGATGGATTCTTGGTTCGATTCCTGGTCGGGCACCTGCCAGGGTTGCAGGCTCCAACCCAAGTAGGGGGTGTGCAGGAGGCAGCCGATGGATGTTTCTACCTCTCTCTCCCTTTCTCTTAAAAAATATGCAGGCGTCTTACAAATATTGATTATATTGTTGCTTTTATAACATGTTCGGATATTTTTATGTTTTTGCAAAATACCTAGGACCTAGTTAGCTCCCAATACATTTTTGTCAAATGAATGAAATAGATTTTGTCAGTATCTTGCCGTTGACCCTTGTTTGTCCTGGAAAAGGCACACAGGACAATGCAGGGGCTCTTGGCTCCAACTTTGTGAGCAAAGAACTAACCAGGAGTCAGATAAGATGTAAATTTGGGGCCCACCCTCCGGGATTCTGATTCAGCAGGTCTGAGACAGAGACATAAGTGCCCGTGATGCCGAACCCAGCCAGCGACCAGGCAGAAGCCAAGGCGGTCTGTGCGACCCGAGGCCTGCAGACAGTGACGGCAGAACAGAGACCGGAGGGCGGGTGGCCAAAGGAGTCCCTGCAGCCCGGCGACATGACGGGTTTTCCAAAGTGGTTCAAGTGCACAGGAGTGTGGGTGCGGAGCTGCCCTCTGAGCTGACGGCCAGCCCCAGGCCAGGCCCCCCCCCGCCCGCACTCTGAGTGGCAGGGTGAATGCAGCGCTGACGGCCAGCCCCAGGCCAGGCCCCCTGCACTCTGAGTGGCAGGGTGAATGCAGCGCTGACGCCAGCCCCAGGCCAGGCCCCCTGCACTCTGAGTGGCAGGGTGAATGCAGCGCTGATGGCCAGCCCCAGGCCGCCCCACCCCCCACCCCCGCCCGCACTCTGAGTGGCAG